TGAGACTGTTGATTCCATATTCATTGTAAATAACCCATGGCAGACACTGATGCCTAGCCAGCGGAAAAGTTCCATGTGAGGAACTGGTGAATGTAGAACCCAAATAGCAAAGCTAGAGACTTCTTTGACAGTTTGATTATTCAAAGAGATTGAGTCATGAATGGGCCTGATCCTACATTTTACAGCTTTATCTTTGACCACAAAACATGGAGGCGAACCTCAGCCAATTCCTCCATTTGCTGGAATGCCCTGCAAAACCTTTCCGGGCTCTGTACTAGAAGGATGCCATCCTGATTAGAAAAGGGAGGTGATAGCTGAAGGGTTTGTAAGTGCCTAGAAGGATGCCATCCACATAGTCAAGAGAACACCAATCTCAATGCCTGTAGAGCTGACAGAATGTTTCTTTATGAAATCAATTACCCGACAAAAGAGTGTTTGGGCAAAGACTTACCCCTGCTTGACACCAGATACTGTTTTAATAATGCTGACATTTGATTCCTCAGACTTACTCGGGCAGGGTTTCCATTGTGCCGCTCACTAATTAAGTCCAGTAGAGTGGTTAGGACAACTTCACCTGTGAAGGCCTACCATAGCGTGACTCGGTCAACTGAATCAAACACAGCTTGAAGATCCATGTACGCTATACGCAGAGGCTATCTGAACTCCTGATGTATCTCTGATAACAAGCAGTGTAAAAAAATACTGTCTAATGTGGACCTGTTCCTCATGAATCCTGACTATTGGTGGAGGCACTTCTGCTGCAATGGGGGCTCCATCAGAACATACACAAATACCTGCCCTAGTATGGACAACAAGGTGATCAACCTGTATCTCTTCTATTTGCTGCATAGTCCTTTGCCCTGATAAAGTGAGAGTACAGTGCAGTCTTTCTATGCAGTTGGGAAACTGCAGGTCTCCACAGCAGGTAAAAGATGGGCAGAAATGATTCTGCTACAGTCACCGTAGCATATTTTAGAAGCACATCAGTCCAGGCTGTGCATCTATTTTTCAGTTTGCAGGTGGCATGCTTCGCTTTGACCAACATTGCTGCCTCAGTACAAGTGTCTGGGTATGAAACCACAGTGAGTGTCAAATCATCCAGCACCGAGCAAGCAAGAGTTGGTGGATGGTTCGTGATGATGTGATCAGTACAACAATGTGTCCTTAATATGACCATGGATCAACCCCCTTGAAACACAGCAGTTCATTACATTAAAAGAGGGAAACAGTAAGTAGATTAGAAAAGGGAGGTGATAGCTGAAGGGTTTGTAAGTGCCTATTTGGGGAAATGGCTCAAAACCTATCCCCTTTCTAGGCTGCCATCTATAATTTGTTGACCTGTGTTTCATAAAGAAGATGAAGTATCAGCTTGCGAGAAAGACACACGCTGCCTGACAATTCAGAGATCATGGTGATTACTGTGTCTTGGACACAGTACACGTAACAATAAGTCATTAACTGCTGATCTGGATGCCTGATACTGAGGCAAGTTTCAGTAAGTATAATGCACTGGAGGAATTATTCAAGTGTTCTAACATGATAATTGCTCTGCAATACAGCTAGGGTCAGTAAGATTTTGGGGTACATTCCTTAAAGCCACCAGTCACAGAATGTTAAGCCTTGTATTTGAAACAAAGATTTCAGTTCTGTACAATGCTGTAAGCTGTTTGTTCAGCCAAGTGCTGCCCGCACTGATCTCTGGGGGTATGTCTACACTACCCCCCTAGTTCGAACTAGGGGGGGTAATGTAGTCATACGGAGTTGCAAATGAAGCCCGGGATTTGAATTTCCTGCACTTCATTTGCATAAAACTGGCTGGCGCCATTTTTAAATGCCGGCTAGGTCGGACCCCGTGCCGCGCGGCTACACGCGGCACGGACTAGCTAGTTCGGATTAGGCTTCCTGTCTGAACTAGCTGTACGCCTTGTGGAAGCCTAATCCGAACTAGCTAGTCCGTTCTGCGTGTAGCCGCGTGGCACGGGGTCCGACCTAGCCGGCATTTAAAAATGGCACCGGCCGGCTTTATGCAAATGAAGCCCAGGAAATTCAAATCCCGGGCTTCATTTGCAACTCCGTATGACTACATTACCCCCCCTAGTTCGAACTAGGGGGGTAGTGTAGACATACCCTCACTGTCCTGTATTGGACCTTTCCCCATCATAAACCAGTAGCCAGTTGCATGCAATCACAAAGAAAATCCAGTTGAATTAATATTGATTGTTTCCCCTCGGTTAAGCTGGGACACACTCTGAGATCAAAAATCTATACGCTGTAAGTGCTTGAGAGAAGGACCGAGGCTTCCAGTTTTTGCAACTGACTATTTACTAGCATAAGTCTTATAACACTTTTATTTGGGCGCCTCCCTCCCCAAATAAAATGGATAGCGCAGAGCAGAGATGGCCGGACTTTGTATGAAAGACTTCTTGGGTTGAAAGCTGGGGAAGCACTAAGAAAGCTCTGAGAAGTGTACTTTGTTGGAGAAGAAGGTGCTGCAAGACATGGCACTAGCTGGCACGTGCTTCTACATGACAGAATGTGCCCTATTGTCCTTGGGGCTAGAGTTGCTAGCTAGTGCAAGAAACGATGCTTTTGTGTAAAGCACCCTCAAGTGTTATTGAAGATCTGATGCTAGTTTGCTCAGGAAGCAAAGATACCTCTCCCCCCCCACAAACACAACCCTTTTACTATTATTAAGGCAGCACACAGAAGCAGGGATCAGGTCCCATTGCAATAGAATTCCATCCTTATTCTGTCAGTCTTACCAACTAGAAAAAGGTTTCCTTTTTAGAAAGGTGTTGGCCGGTGAAAATCCACTGTCAGTTTCAGGAAGCTCAATGGTAGTTAAGGGTTCTGTGGCTAACTTTGGTGGATTGCTGAAGTGAATTTGGGAGGTCAGTTTCATATAGGTTTGATGACTGATTTACTGAATCATTTCAGCAAAGACAGCATCCTTCAAAAAGTAAAATGTAGAATTCTCTAGGTGAGCAACTCCAAGAAAAACATAAGCTACTTTGGAAACTACAGTAGAACACAGAAAACAAGATGTTTAGGTATTGGTGAGAGGTCTTACATGTGTAGGCCAACAAACCTGAGTATGGTTCAGGTTGATAGTACTTGAGAGTTGTACCTGAATGAATAATGAAGACTGCACACCCCTATTACTGATGGAGATTATCCATATATATCAGAGTTGGTGTGACCACAACTGGATGGTAGGGAGAAGTTTTCCTTGGTGCTATGCATTCAGTATTGATTTTGTGGATGAATAGACTACATTTGAATTATTGTGGGTGAACCTGCAACCCATAAGGGTTGTGAAACCCATCCTGATGTGTGCTCCGCATAACCTCTGGAGATTTCCTGATTGAGCTGGTCAGAATTCTTCCCAAAACTCCCACTGCTACATGGCCTCTTTTGCCCCTCTCATGGGGCCAGTAGCTTGAAGCTACAATGTGGCCCAAAAGTGATGATTCCAATTAGATGTTGTTGGAGAATAAACTGTGAAACTAGAAGCTCTGAGACTGAGGCCAGGCCTACACTATGAGAGAAAGTTGAACTAAGATATGCAACTCCAGCTACATGAAGCGTAGCTAAAGTCAACATACCTTAGCTCAATTTACAGTGGTGTCCCCACTGCGGGAGATTGACAGGACAAACTCTACTGTTGACTTCTCTTACTCCTTGCAACCCGGCGGAATACTGGAGTTGATGGGGGCATGATCAACTGTCCATTTAGCGGGCCATTACTAGACTAGCTAAATCGAACCCCCGGAGATTGATCTCTGCAGCATCAATCTCTCAGTAAGTGGAGACAATCCCTTAAATAAGGTTCACACTACATTTATTTATGATGGTACTTATACTTGTATGAACTTGTATAGTTGTTTGGAAATGATTATATGCTTAGCATTGTAGAGTAACATGCATATAGACAGTCCCTACCTTGGAGTTTACAGTCTATAGACAGAATATATATTGATGGGATGTACAAGGCAATAGAGAAGTGGGACAGATTTTGTTGTTTCTTATGTCTTTATCAGAGGGGTAGCCATGTTAGTCTGAATCTGCAAAAGCGGTGAGGAGTCCTGTGGCACCTATGTCTTTATGGTCATCATAAAACCCATGTTGCTTGTGATATCTATGGACTACACTAAATGTACACTTGCATGTCATTGAGTGCCAACATTAAATAGTGCCTGGTCTATGGAAGCTAAATGAAATATTTTCCTATAATAATTTGTAACAATTAAATACAGTCAACTGCCAGTCTGAGCCCCTTACCTTAGTATGCCCTGAGTGAAGTATTTAAAATCACCCCATTCCTGAGTTTTGGCTTTATTAGTAACTCAACATGTCACACATAGTATTACTGCCAAGTGAGCTTGGCTTTCCCTAGATTTTTGTTCCTGAACCAATTGCCGTAGTTTCCTGTCCTCTCTCTTCTCTAGTTCTCTGATAAATCTAACTAGCCACAACTACCACAATGAAGTGATTAGAACTTCAGAATTTTCATACGGGGTTCAAAAACTTGCTGACTGGGAGCTGAGTCAGTCATCCTCTTACAGTAGACTTCCACACAATAGCCGCTATGTGGGGTAAGGTGACTACTTGATCCACGCTTTGCATGTATTGTAAAACCATTATTAAGAAGAATGCTCTCTTCAGGACGTCTATGCAATATTTGCTTGGAATTATCTTGTACAAATCATGTGCACAAGTTATCCTGGTACATATTTGCTGTACTTTTTTTTCTTATCTAGCGCTGTATCTATCTTGATTATTTATCATGTCTGTATATGTCCCTCCATTTGATAGCTCTAATGGTGACCGTAGGGGTTTTTCACTTTTAAGGTAACAGACGGACCAAGGACCTTTAATAGGGAATGATTTGGTTTGAGTGGTTTGGGTTGTTGTTGTTTTTTCCTTAGGTTAACCCCAAAGTTCAGCCTCTTGTCTGGTTGTTGCAATTAGTGAATTATAAACCTTTCCTCTGCTTTCAGGCTTCTCAATGCCAATAAAATCAACTGCCTGAGGGTAAACACATTTCAAGATCTGCATAACCTCAACCTGCTATCACTTTATGACAACAAACTGCAGACCATCAGCAAGGGGCTCTTTGTACCTCTCCAGTCGATCCAGACTCTGTGAGTATGCAGATACACTACAACTGACAGCTCTTCCCTTCCCCCCCAAAGATGTTCCCTATCTTTACACTGGCTTTACATCTGACATTAACACAATATTGGAGACAAGGCCACTAGCTTCCCCTTTTTGTCAGAAATAAAAGAAGCAAGTGAAGGAAAATAATGGAATAAATTCAGCACCGCCAAGTTTTATAAGGTTCTGCCTCCCTTCCATAAATATCAGAAATGTATTAATGAATAAAAATAGTTAATTCTGGGATGTTCAGGGTATGGCTATACTGCCATTTTTTTGTGGATCCCTTAAACCTGGTTTTTTGAGGAATAAAGGATCTTGTGAAAAAAGAGGTTTTTTTCCAACAAATGGCCCCGTCTACACAGGGCTTTTTTGTGGCAAAACTCTTCTGCAAAAAGAATCGGAAGAAGATATGCAAATGAGAGCACGATTTGCATAGCCTCTTGCTCAAAAAAACAGCAGTGTAGCTGTAGCCTCAGTGATTTTAAATATAGACGACACTGATTATGTGTATTTGACTCTATGTAGGGTATATACACAACAGGCTTCGTATATTTAAAGATATTTGAATTATGGTCTTTTGTGAGTTTATGTATTTGTTATTTGTCCATAGCAGAGGTTGAGACCTGCTGCATAGTTCATAAGTACTGAAGTTTCATTTTAATTGACATTCCAGGCATTTGGGGTAAATGTATATCACTGCAAGTTGTTATTCATTTGGTCCAGGTAAAAATATTAGTTTAAAAAAATACATGGATCTATTGTGTTTTTTCCGAGTCTTAATATGAGAAGATACAAAGCAATAGGAGTAGGAAAGGGATCAGAAATCCCTTATTTTTCTTGGCTACATAAATATACACCAAAACTGATATTTCATAGGGTAAGATTTTTCGTCATAAAGCTGTGAGAACTTCCAAAAAAAAAGACTCCCCTCCAAGAGTCTGACTGGCAAACTCATTACACAAAGCATCTAAAATGCTGCATGTACACACTGGAAGACTGGCAATGCACTGTGTACACGTGAATTATGTGTATGCCTGCTCACCTAAAAGAAAATGTCCAGTTGTATTTTTAAGAGGCTGGGATCATGAAGGTAATTTGCCAAAAATATTTGGCCAGCACTTTTTGTACCAATCCAAACAGACATTAAATAAATATTTCTCTGATGTACAAATGCATCTGGTTTGCACGTGTGTATAGGTAACATATATGTGTGCGCAAACCAGAGTTAGTTTCAGATGAAGCTAAAAGTTTGCTAATGCCACTCTGTTACAAATGCTAGACGGGCATTAAACTCAACACATCAAGTAAAATAATATTTTTTAAATGTTAAACTATAAAAGTTACTCCTTGGGTTCCGTGTCTTTTTTTTTTCTAGACAGATTTTGGGGCCATTACATCAAACTTTCCTTATTGCTTCATACTGAGACACTTTTTCATGGGCCATTTCTGACTTTTTAAAGCACTGAGCACAGCCCATCCCTACCGTTACGTACTGTTCATTTAGTTTTACATTTGTACCTTCCAGTGCTGGAGTGGTGCATGCTGTGTTCATTATATTAAACCACAACCTATCTACATACTTTGGACAAGGAAATGAATGTATTGTAGGTGGAATATGGAGAGAAAAATATGCCTAAGTACTAGTAGGACCACAGCGCTCAGGGAATATGTCCTTATACCTCTGCTCACAAAGACAAGTTAGTATCTTTTCATATCCAGTTCTCAAACAAACAGTGCATCCTGCTCCCCTTTGAAGTCAGTAGGAGATTTGTCGTTGATTTCAATGGGCTCAGGAGCAGGCTCGGAGAGAGTCCTGAGAAACTTTATTTAATACCTCGCTGAGCCCAACAAAGAAGGACCAAAATAACTGTGGAAATAATTTTTATCTTAGCTTGTGGAAGCCTATGCAGAGCAGAAGAAGCCTCTACCTGAAATATTTGTATACAGCGCGGAAGACCTTTGTCACTGCCATATGATTGTCTGGAGAAATACTTTTCCAACTGGACTTGTGTATTTTGCACAAGCTTTTGTTGAATTGTATTTGTCCATCCTTAGTTTGCATCAGTTGTCTGTGCTGAAAAGTTAAAATCTCAGGTTCAGGAGAAATAAATGCAAAAAAAATTCTATTAGCCCTGAACAGGACATGCAAATATTAATTTCACTCTTGAGCGAAAGTCTTTGGCTTACTTGTGGCTTTGGCTGCTGATCCAAGGTGCTTTCCTACTTATCCAGATTTTGTTCCCTAAGAAGCTGAGCTTGTCAATAAATCTTCTTTTGAAACCAAGGCACAAAGTGTTCTCTAAAATCAGGTGTTTCTTAGAAGATGTGTTTCTATTATAATGCATCATGTCAGGCTTCCAAGTAAGAACACTGGCCTTTGTAGACAGAAGATCTGTATCCTTTAAATCAGGCTTTGCTGTATTAATTTTTGCTTCCTCCATGAAAGTACTTGCAGCAGCTTAATGAGCTACGAAATACGATAGCTCACAGAATTCTCCCATTCATGCGCAGCTCCATGTGGCTTCCGCCAGGCCAGGGTTTTTGGGAGCTTATTCAATTACTCTACTCTTCAGGTTTGCGTTTGTGAAAAACAATGATGGAGTACAGTGTCACAGGTCATTTCTGATTAAACATCCCATCCCTCTTGCAGACATTTAGCTCAGAATCCATTTGTGTGTGACTGCCATTTGAAGTGGCTGGCTGATTACCTGCAGGATAATCCGATAGAAACCAGCGGCGCTCGATGCAGCAGTCCGCGTCGCCTTGCCAACAAACGAATCAGCCAGATCAAGAGCAAGAAGTTCCGCTGCTCAGGTAATTCATTTATACAGGCTGTACTGCACTTTCAATTCAGAAATAAGCAGGTCCAGAGAGTCTGCTAATCAAATCTGCAGGACAGTGTTTGCTATAATGGATACTGTGGAGCATCTTTTAAAATTAAATTTGGGAAATTCAGTTAGTCCTCCAGAAAACCAATTAACTGATGGATTAGAAAAAGAACCCAGTATGTAACCTGCCTTTTTTTAAATTTTTGACATTTAATTTTTAAAGAATGCTGGTTTATAAAATCTCTGTGGAAACCAGTGGAGATATAGATGAATTCATGTGCCAAGTGGTGTATCTGGGAAGGGTGGAAACCTGGATGTGCATTGGGCCAAATCCTGGCTTGAATGGGAGCTTTCCTTGAGTAAGTACTCAGTAAAAAAACAGTGGTGGGGGGTTAGGGAGGCAGTCACAGGGGGAAAGAGAGAGAGAATGAGACGGGGAGAGAGAGAGAGAGAGAGAGAGAGAGAGAGAGAGCGCAAAACCTTGTGAATTAGATCCTACATAAATAGCAAGGAGCAACTGTGCCCCCAGAAGGATCAGGAGGAAACAAACCATATAGCTTTGCCATCTATAACTAATATCTGCAGAGCCAACCCAGAAGCTTTTATCTTAGTTTTTATTCATTTGAGCAAAGCTGCCATTGCAATCAGTGGATTTTTGTACCTACTCAGAAACTAATCAAACCTGACCTCAGGGTTTGGTCCACAGATTATTTATTTACTGTGCATGTAATTAGTTGATGATAATGAAAATAATTTGCAACGTAGAATATACAGCTCTTCCTCATCCCCACCACCTGATAAACTGTACTGTTTCCTCTTTTTCATCTTCCGGACCAGCTGTCAACAAAGGATATTACCTTATGCAGCCTAATTTAGCACTCCTTTTTTTTTCAATGTGTGTTGTGCTGGTAGCAGAGGTTTCAGATTTACTGTACTTGTGACATGCTACAGGAACTGGCGGGATTTCAGTGTAAGAAAATCTGTCACTATATATTGGGAAGAAAAATTACTGTCATTGATGGAATGCTTTTCAGTACTTTCTATAAAAAATTACTATCATTTTTTGTCCTCTTCCACCCCAAGAAACCCTCATGACTGAAAAACACTATGATGAATTGTCCTCCTGACAGTAAAAGATTGGTGGCACTATCGACTGATCTAGCATAAGACTGAAAGGCAGCAGCCCAAAACAAGACATGGTGCATTGTGTGTGTCAGAAAGCAGTATGCTCAGATAAACCGTCCTTTACTGAGGAAATAAAATAAAGATAACTTCATTTGCAATCAGACTGCCTTGTAGGCAGGACTTAAAACCTTAAAGTAATTTGAGTTGTGGGCACGCACAACTCAAGCCACGCAGTTCAGAGCCAAATCCCAAATCATTAAATTATGGGGTATTTGACCCAGGGTTTTGGTTTAGGTTCCTATAGCATTGTAATTAGTCACCAATCTTCACCTTTAAAGAAAATTAGAATGAGAATGAAGAAGTCTTGGATATTTAGAAAATAAAGAATGCTATGTAAAGAAGTTAATGAGTCTTAATTCCTACTCAATCTGCTGTTTTTATTTTACTCTATTAATATAGTGAAATAATAGTCAAAATGTGTTATGTGTGTATAGATACACCTTTCCTATGCAGTGTTACAGGCCACTGGAAAAAGTTGAGACCCTCTGATATTCATAATGTTTCACCTAATGGTATTGAAAGTAAACTTTTGTCTGGATTCCTCTGTTATGTTCTTTCTTCTGTCCATCATGTTCTCAGTCTATCTGTTCCGGCCCTGCTTATCAATTCAGTAGTACCAAACATCCTCGAGAAGGCATCCCTCAAGCTTTCCTGGTGGGTGATGAAGAGGAGGAGGATGTGCAGGTGTTCAGGCTCTAAAACCAGGCTTCATAATAGCTGAACGCTAATGCTCTTGAAAAATCTCAAGAGAGGTTCTTACCTTGGTAATAATGGCTTCAAATGGGAAGGAGAGTCCTAGCTTGTTACGCATTCTTCTCCTCACTTAAAATATGGTAGGAAATATTGCAGTGCTATTCTCTCCGATACCTTGATGAATCATTGTTTGTAAACTGAGTCATAGTGCATTCAAGGAGGCAGTATTAGAACTTAAAGTGCTCTGCCTGTTCCTCTCTCTAATTTGTGTTAACTTCAATCTTAGACTGCAACAGAAGAATATAATTTTTTCACTTTTTATTTATGAGGAATATGATTTTATCCTGGGCTTTGCCACAACACGTCTTCCAGCAAAGGTGTAAACTATGGGATCTGCATGTACTTAAAGCAAAAACAGGGGTGCGATGCATTTCTTTACCCAGGGACAGTTCCTGCATCAGTACTGCTGTGATGAGAATTCTTAGTGGTCTGTTTATCTTTGCTGACTCAGGGATCTTCTCCTCTGACTTCTTGCAGCTGTTGCTCAATGAAGGAATGAGAAAATAGTTTCTGTTGTAAATCTATAACTTGTACATTGTTGCCCAGAGATCACAAAATCAATTTCTCGTCTAGAGCTACTGCTATTTTCATTTTTTGTGTTAGCCCCTGAATGAATTCCAAAATAAATTTGCCTGAAATAAGCATTTCCTGCCATCAAAAAAGTAATATATGTATTAATAATTTTTAGGTGGGCTGGGAAGGGCAAACATGTTTTGATATCCTGGTGTGGTGTGCTTCATCTTGAGTAGTATGGAAGATGCCAGGCTCTGTTAAAATCTGTGGGAGTCGCATATACCCAGCCCTTTTCAGTATCAAACCTATGATTAGTTCAACATTGGTGTGCTTAGTATATAGCCAGAGGGGAAGAAAGGGGTAGGAGAGAGAGTAGATTTTTAAAAAAGTGCTTAGACAGAAGAGCATAGTTCCTGGCTTTGATAAGTAAAACAATGTGCTTCCTAGAGAACAGTAATACATTTCTGGAGACTTTTTTTTTTTCTGACGTGGTACTTTCTTGCTCCTTCATTCCCTCCCTGTGGCTAAATGCTAGTATTTGCAAAGGTAAATTGTAATTCTCCTTGTGGTCTCTTTTGTCATCAAGGCAGCTCCCCCGCTCCTCTCCTAGTCCGGTGTTGCATCTGATGATGGGGGGGCAGCGACATCTGCCCAATGTTATGATTGTATCAAGGAAGGAGATTTGGACAAGCTTCCTCCAAAATGCTCACAAACGGGGAATAGGATGTAATTTTCAAGAGCATGGTGGTGATTTCCCTTCCTTAGCAGCATCTCCCAGTCTCAGCTGAAGTTGCAGTGGGCATTAGAGAGACAAGGTGAGGTAATATCTTTTAGTGGGCCCACTTTTGTTGGTGAAAGAGACGGGATTACACGGAGTGCTGCTTCAGTGGTACATGTCAGTTCTAGATCTCAGGAGGATCCTAGCCTCAGAAGGGGAAAAAATGAAAAAGCTCTTCAGCCTGGTAGCTTCGGACTAAGTTCAGCTTTGTTTTGGTAAGCAGCGCTGGTTTTCGGGGGTGTAAAAAGGAGCCAGGCCTAGGTTTTGGTGCCTCTCTGGTAACATCACTGTCACTTCAAGAAATATCAGAATCCTTGATTACCATGTTTTAGTGTATATAACCTGTACTCGTGTATAACCCGTGGTTTTTCTTTGCTGTGTAAAAAAACAACTTAGATTACCCGCAGCTGTGTATAACTCGTGGGTTCTATAGGCTAATTAACGGTAATTACACATACTAGGATAAACTGCCTATGTTCTGCATTCCACCCATCTTCTGTTAAGTAGCCATTCTGCTGCCAGCGAGGGGAACAGAGAGCGCAGCACAGGCAAGCTGGCTGGCCTGCGGGAAGGGAGCCGCACTCACGCCCAAGCCCCACACAGATGCAAGCAGGCGCAACCCACCCTCCTCCGGGGGGGGAACGGAGAGCACAGCGCAGGCACGCTGGAAGCTCGTCAGGTCCTCCCTGCAGTGGAGCGGAGCTGACCCAATTCTAATGGGGCAGAGCTGCTTATGAGTAAAAATAAACTTGTATACCCCACGGACATGTATACCCAGCGGGGAAGAGGGGTTGTAAAAACATGCATAACCCGCGGGTTATATATGCTAATTTACGGTACTCGATATACAGTGGCTCTTGCACAGAGCTCTCCCTACACTCAGTTCCTATTTATGCGTGTGTGTGCACATGCATGAGTGCATGTATTTTATATATATCATGCCAGTTTCTTGTGCACTTGAGTTTCACCTATCCAGCTCTCCACACCGCTTGTGGTGATGATCAAAGAATATTTGTTTCTAAGAGCACCACATCACAAATCCCTCCTCCCCCCACCCCTACAGTAAAAAAACATGAACTTCTATCCCATTTGAAGCCTTAATAACTAAACCTGGCTGCTCAATTTCTTTTGCTTTGGGCATCTGTGATTTTAAACTGATTTAATTAGCGGCTACAACACCAGCAAGGTCTTTACAAACCAAAACCAGGGTGAACTATTTAAGGACAATGAGCCATCCGCCAACACAAACCTCTGCTTTTCAAACACTGCCTCTCATTAATTCAATCCAGTCAGAAGGCAGCAGCCCAGATAAAATGTGGAAAATGGAGACAAAGATGCCTGCATATACTAGGACAATTTCGTATCTCTTCCACTGCCCTTGTCATCAAACTAGAGAATGATGTATTTTTTCAGTCACTGCAAGAAAGACATCTAATGAACGCTGTTCATGGTCGTTGCAGTTTGTCTTTCCCTGTCTTTGTGTTTGTGTTTGGGTTCTAAGCAACCATTTTGGTTGGTAACATGTTGAAACTTCTAGAGGCGGAGCTCCAGGCTAGGCTGTAGTTGCCATTATTTGTGACTGTGGCCTTGCCCTCGACACTGGACTGAAACTTCACTCTTCTGCATTGTGGGCCCAAACCTTAGATGCGCACTGCCTTAAATAGGGATCACAGAGGGGTAGTCGTGTTAGTCTAACTTTTAAAAAAACTTAAAAAACGAGTGGTCCCATAGCACCTTAGGGTGTGTCTAGACTACAG